ATCCTCGTCAGAGAGCAGAATTATCAGTTTTGCTGTTGGCCATCTACACTCTGGTCCCTGAGGCTGGTTTGATGCCACCGTGCAAGGGACTGCTGTGTGCTGGCTTCATCTTCAAGCTGCCAGTGAAAGGGCTGCGGCAAGACTGTCTGGTACCCACTTACGATCATGCCAGGTGGCAGGAGCCCAAGAGTTGCTTCCAAAGTCCCTGTCCCACTGCTCGCTGTGTGTGACTGGCATGGCTTCCTAAATGAGCTATTAAAAAGGAAGATAGGATTACTGCTAGGGGCCAGTTCCAACTCACCTCTCACAGGCTTAGCAGGATGAGTTTATCTGTCTACCATCAGAGTCTCTTAACCAGATGGGACCATGACACAGATGAATGAAGCCTTGTTGGGTGACAAAATGCATATCCTGTAAATAAATATAACAGAAAACTGTTCTAGGAAATGGGACATTGACTCTCTGCAGGGGAAGGTGGCCCCTATTCAATAGAGCAATGTGGGGTGTGGGTGAAGAGAAATTTGAGGGGTGCAGGAGTAGTCCAAGCACATTAGCATCAGCGGCAGGAGGAGCAGTGGTAAGGACAGCAGCCTCACACATGACAAATTGGATCTGAATGCTGTAAGAACTGGATGTGGAACACCATTTCCTGCCAGTGATGATGGGCTGTGGAACAATGGAGAAAATCAATGAAGCCAAAGATTGTTAGGAAACAAAATGCTAAGGATGTAAGTCGGGGCTCCGCCCCAAAGTTGGGTCAGATGTCTGATTAACTACGGAGAGAGGACAGCGTTCGTTTAGTACCTCCAGACTGCTGATGTGGCTTCTCTGTATGCTCCTCGTGTCTAAACCAGGATCCTCCTAGCACATCTGACACTTGCACAATGAGTGGCCCAGTTTTGTATGAACCAGTGCTACATAGAAATGTTCAATTCATCTAAAAAAATACGCACATATCACATAGCATCATCTGTGAAATGCCAGTTCTTATGTCCTGTGCCTGAAGGCTTCAAAAGGACCAAGGTGCCATGGTCACTGGATATGTGTTGATTCTAAAAGGTTGGCACCACTTGCCAGCTTCTCTTCCATCTGATTCAGGCAGCAGGAGCATCTGACCAGAAAAACATGGCCTGAATGTCCGATTTCTCCCAGCCAATCTCTGGCCGTGATCGCCTTGACTGGGATGGGAGTGAGCCGGTGATTACACAGAGCCCTCTAAACTTCCCCTGCATTAATGAAAGTGTGCTAAATGTTTCAATCTTACATATTTGTCCAAGCAAAATTACTTCAAAATATATTAATTATCCTCTAAGTTCTAAACACTGTGACTGGTGATAAGGGGGCAGCAGTTTATCTGTTAACGCTGCTGCCCTACCTACTTGAGGTTACGGTCACTGTTGAATGAAAGCAGCACAGAATCATAGAGCCACTTCTGACTCATGCAGCACATAAATGCTGCTTAAACACAAAGCACCCTTCAAAACTCCAGCTCTGATGAAAATGAAATGCCCAGCTCTTACCCTCAAGGATCTTAAAACCAGGCGTGCCCGTGACGTCAGTGCAAGGGAGATTGGTGACAGTGGCCATGTATGTGGAAGGAGTAAGCAGAGTGAAGACAGGGCATGGTGTGACAGGAAGGTCACAGGTCGGAAGGCAGGTGGCATCGGCTTTATCCGCCTTGTTGAACGTCTTGGTCCTGAAACCCCCAACAGCAGATGAAATGAAGAACTCCACGGGGATAGGGTCTCTTCCAGGATGGCGTGAGGTCCCAGACTTAGGCACTAGAATTGCAGTGTGTGTGTGTGTGTGTGTGTGTGTGTGTGTGTGTGTGTGTGTGTGTGTGTGTGTGTGTGTGTGTGTGTGTCTCGGCCGGGATCCTTTACTCTGCTTCCTTGACTGGCACTGCTGAATTAGCTCAGGCTACCGGTGGCCCTCTGTTTGAGCTGGTCCCCCTGGTTTGAAAGGTTGTGCTCACCAAGGGTCTTGATGAAAGTCACGAAGAAATCTACAGGATAAAAATTCCACACATGATTCTTTTCTTAAATTTTGCACTGAAATGAAGTTATTTTAAATTCCATTATCCCCCATAAGCTTTGTGAGTATCCTTGAATCAGGAGAGGATCCTTTGGGTTTGGGGCTAAATCCTGCATGGGTGAGACAGTCCTGATTCAAGCCCGCCTGACACAGACGTTGTCATCAAACCTGCCCTGCTCTCCTCTCCTCTCTCCTCCCTTTCCCTCCCCTCCCCTCCCTTCCCCTCCTCTCCTCTTTCCTCCCTTTCCCTCCCCTCCCCTCCTTTCCCCTCCTCTCCTCTCTCCTCCCCTCCTCTCCCCTCCCCTCCCTTCCCCTCCTCTCCTCTCTCCTCCCCTCCTCTCCCCTCCCCATCCCTGCTCTTTCCTCTCCTCCCCTCCCTCTCTGCTCCCTAGCCCCCCCCCCGCCCCCCTCACTACCTCTGGAATGTGAGTGTCTCCCAGCTTGTGTGGAAGCCCCTGGCAATGTTGTGGGCTTCTACCCTCCCAGCTGCAGGACAAGAGAGGGGCTGGAGAGACCAAGAGAGGTTAGCAGTGTGAGGGGCTACTAGTTACATTGTTCTCACCGCTGGCTTTGTGTACTAAGGTTTGCATAGCTAGTTACCTCAAAGGGAGCAGTCAAGAATCTTGTTCTTACAAAGTCAGAATTGTATGTTCCACAACCATTTTCAAAAAAAGAAGCCAAGTGTTTTAAAGAAGGGACTCTTTGCTTTTTTTTTTTTTTGAGATTTCTATATTTGGAAGAGTTATAGAAAGAGGGAACGATATTATTAGAGATAGATACATCAATCTTGAATCTGTGGAATCATTTCCAGAATGGTCACAGCATCCATGGAGCCCAGTAACTGTGACACCTGGTGCTACTTTCCCAGGCACACTTTCAGGAGCTGGGTTGGAAGAGGGGTGGCTTCCAACCGACTCTAACCGATGCCTAAATGGGACACTGGCATTGCAGGTGGCAGCTTAGCCCCATTCTCCCTGGCCCTGGAAGGAATCCATTAAAAAATTATTTTTACTTGAAAAGCAGAATTATAGAGATGAAAGTAAGCTCTTCTATCCACTGGTTCACTCCCCAGATGACCACAAAGGCTGGAGCTAGGTCGATCCAAAGCCAGGAGCTTCTTACCAGTCTCTCAAGTCGGAGAAGAAACCCAAGGGCTTAAGTCATCTTTTCCTGCTTCCCCAGGCCATCAGCAGGGAGCTAGACCAGAAGTGAAGAGGCTGGGATTGGCACTGGCTCCTGGTGCATTAATGGAGGCCAGCCCCATGGAAGGAGCGTGCGTGTGTACAGCCCCTTAGCATGCGTGTGTACAGAAATGCCTGATGTTCACACTCAGCACCAGCACAAGTGCAGGGACTGGTCCTGGTTGGTGGGCTCTGGTCTTACACTCAGTGCCACAGCAGTAGGAGCCGATGTTCTCATGAGCTTTGTCTGGGGTCAAAGCTCAGCAAGTGGGGTCAGATTCTAAATCACAAGCGTGGGAATATTCAGAAAGAAATGGAAGCACGGCGCTCCAAAGAAAAAGAACGGATGTTGAACGATGAAAGCGTCGGGAAACATTTGAAGTAATCTCTGGATACCCACAGCCTGGTTTCCTACATGTAACCCAACATAGAACATTGACCTTAAAAGGCAGTGTGGTGGTTAAAGGTACATGGCCTATTTTAACAGAGGAGTTGAGAGTGGAAAAACAATTTGGAGAGCATCCAATTCAAATAATTTGGAGTCATCATTGTCCAAATTCTGGGTTGGCAGGGAGGCTTAAAACCCAGACAGAGGATCAACAGAGCTCAGGACAAGTGGGTAGCTGGTGGCCAGCTACCAGATGATAGCCTACACTGTGTGCGAGATCATTTGGGTGCGTGCAGGGAGAAAGGCCTAGGCAAGAATCTAGTTAACTTCTTTAATCCCCTCCAGTCTCCGTGGACAGACATCCTGAGTGTCCTCATCCAGGGGACAGGTCCACTTGTTGCTTTAAGCCAGCCCTGCTGGCCTGAATCTGCAGGAGACAGCGCTTTGCATCAACAGCTTCCTGAGCACTGCAGCCACTCTGGCTCTGGCTCTGCCCCTCCACTTGGCGCCCACCAGCAGAGGGGAGACATCTAGGTAATCTTCTCCTCCCTCTGTCACTGCCTCTGCCCAGCCATTCCCAGCGGAGAGCCTTTCTGGAAATGGGTGGGAGGCTTCCTTACACCTGTCACCACCAGAGAGCAAACACGCCTGCAGAGTTACCAAGCTTTCCGCTAGCAGTGGAGGGAAGGAGGAGCACCCCAAGCTTGAGGTTCTGTGCTCAAGGCTCTTGCTGCTGCTACTGCTGCAGAACGCGGCTTGATCCCCATCTCTGCCAGAGGAGCGAATTCCCACTCGAGATCTGTTCTTTCCGCTTCGGCTTCCTTACAAGACTAGCCCAGAGAAGTCTCAGTGCAGGTTCTTTTGGTCGCAAGCCAGGATCCTGTGGGTATGCGCGTGGTCCCCTGGAAAGCCTACGTGGACAGATCACCCAAGGCTTGGGTATCCTGGGCGCACTTCTGAGCCCAGTTCTGTCTTGCACCTCCCTTGTTGTGCCCCCAGACCTAAGGGCTAGGTGCAGCACCCAGGGAACGGGAGCAGTGATCAGCCAGCGCCAGACATCCCCAAGCGAACCCCATGCTGAGGCTGCCCCTGGCCAGAGCGCTTGGGCTCTTCCTCGGGTAGTCGGACCAGGTTCTGCCCTGGCCGATGCTCTGCAATCCCCAGCTTCCCCAGGGACCAACGAGACTCCCACATTCCAAGGCAAGCCGCCCTCCCTGGCCGCCCACCCGCACCCCCACCCCGCACGCAGCCCCTCCCTGCGTGATGATGCAAACCAGTGGGGAGGGCGCGCGCCGGGGAGGGTGGGAGCGGAGGAGCGGTGGCGAGGGAGGGAGGAGTGGGAGGAGGAGAGGGAGCCGAGCGACCATTTAAAGCGATAGCAATCCCTGCCCTCTCCCAGAGCTGAGCTGTCGGAGAGCGCGAGCGGCCAGCCTGGAAGCCAGCTCAGCACGCTGGCCAGCGACCCTGAGAGCTCCAGGTGCCCCAAGGCTGGCGCGCACTGAGGGACCCCCGATCCTCACCGGCCGCCCCTCCCTGGGCGCCCCCGCGCCGCGTGCCTGTGGGTGCTCCTGGGCTTTCCCGGAGCCGCACACCCCGAGGGGCCCGGAGCTCGGGGAACCCGCCACGGTCCCCTCCAACACCACCGCCGCCGCAGCCTGGGCAGCATGGTCCGGCTGGGCAAGCTGCTGGGCGTCCTGACTCGGATGGAGTTCCCCTGCTGCGTGCTGGAGGTGCTCCTGTGTGCTCTGGCGGCGGCAGCGCGAGGCCAGGAGATGTACGCCCCACATTCGATTCGGATCGAGGGGGACGTCACCCTCGGGGGGCTGTTCCCGGTGCACGCCAAGGGTCCCAGCGGAGTGCCCTGCGGTGACATCAAGAGGGAGAATGGCATCCACCGGCTGGAGGCGATGCTCTACGCCCTGGACCAGATCAACAGTGATCCCAGCCTGCTGCCCAATGTGACGCTGGGCGCGCGGATCCTGGACACTTGTTCCAGGGACACTTACGCGCTGGAGCAGTCGCTCACTTTCGTCCAGGCGCTCATCCAGAAGGACACCTCCGATGTGCGCTGCACCAACGGCGAGCCACCGGTGTTCGTCAAACCCGAGAAAGTAGTCGGAGTGATTGGGGCTTCGGGGAGTTCTGTCTCCATCATGGTAGCCAACATCCTGAGGCTTTTCCAGGTAGGGGAGCGCACCCTCCGGGGCAGAGCATGCCGGGCTCCCTGCAGCTCTTAACCCTAAAAGCTGACTTGGCCTCCAGGGAGCAGAGACCAGGTCAGCATCCCCTGCGCCTCTCCACTCTGAAGCTGTTGCTGCCGCCCAAGGAGGTACCTTCCTCCGCTCGCTTTCTCGCCCCCCTCCTCCTGCCGCCCCTTCATCTCTCTCCGGTGTCCACGCTCCACTCCATCCAGCCTGACACCCGGGATTTATGGCCCCATTTACAAGAAGCAATCTGCGAAAAACAAGGCGATGATTTAAATGGGTTTGCATTAGAGTGAAATATGGTCGGAAAACAGGCTTGCCGGAGCTCCTGGCTCCTGGGAAGGCAGATCCGGTGCACAGAATGGGAAATGTGAGAAGCAGCAGCCTAAAACCCCAGCATTTCTCACCTTGCCCGCTCCCACTAAGGAGCCACCCCGGATCCCTGCTCCCCCTGGCAAACTGGGAGAAGACCTGGAGGCTGCGCTTCCAAGCAGAGCTTAGCCTCGTCCACAAGGGGCTGCTCCCTGTCCGTCTCCCTTGGGTGTCATTCCCAGACCTGAAGCGGGTCTTCTCCTTGGCCAGGGGGCGGAAGGCGTGGGATCCTCCCCAGGTACAGAGAGGCCGACCAAGGAGCGACCTAGTGGGTTCACTGTTAGGCATGGTCTCAGTCTGGGCTCCCAACTCTTCAAGACCTCAACCCAGATGAGCTCATGCCAACCGCGAAACAGGATCGCCCTCGCTGCTGGCGGCTCGCTCCCGCCTCCTCGCCCACTACCTCCTTCCCCGGGGCTGGGCTCCAAGGTGCTGCTTGGGCACCAGGGGCAGTGGGCATACAAGGAACAGGTTCCCTCCCCTCCACCCCCAACCCCTGCGCACCCCGCCTCCAGATCCTCCTATTGGGGTGCCGGAGGCGACTGCAAAAAGCGCAAAAGCGAGAAGGCGGCTCCAGGCCGCTGAGCGGTGGGCTCTGCGGCAGTGCTCTAGCCTCCTACTCCCAGCCGGCTGTGCCCTGAGGTTTCATGCTGCATTGTTAGAAACGGGGTGGCCTGGGGACTCGTCTCTTTCAGCGTCTCCATCACCACAGGTTCCCTTCGTTTCCCTCACGGCGTGTGCCTCTGTCCCCTGGTTCTGCTTTTCTCTGCTTTTTAAATTTTTTCCTTTTTAATTTCTCCCTCTTGCTCTCTGCCTGCCATCTCTTTCTCTACTGCCAAGTTCTTGGTTCATCTCGATCTTGACTTGAGTCTCCTGAGGCATGGCTTTCTTCTCTCTGGCAGCCAGTGCCCAAGCCTGGTGCATCCCTTCCCCAGAGGCACTAGCTTACCCTGGCGCTCTGTAGGACGACTACAGATCGCCTCCCTCCGGTGCTGGATGTCAGGGGGTGGAGCCCACTTGTGTGGCCCAGGCTGGCACCTGAAGCGCCTCCATTGGGAACCTGGGGCGCCCACGGAAGGATGCCGCCCTACATGGCAGGGGATGGTCCGTGGGAGCGTGACTCCTCCCACGGGTGCCTCAGTGGAGAAGCCCGAATGCTTGCGACCCTACAAATATTTTAAGATGCTGTTGTGGTGCAGGCTGTCACCCTGATAGGCTTGCAGTTGGGAAGGCCCTGAAATTGTGGCATTCCCAATGTAGGAGTTTGCTCTCCCTCTCAGAGCCTATAGCCTGGAAGTTGCTGTGGAGAGACAAGGTGGGAATTCACCTGAGGAAGTAGGAGGGGAGAGCAGCCTCTTCCCTGAGCCACAGCTTGAGGCCGCCCCCTGGGGTTAGCACTGGGGAGAACTTTGGCCCCTGGCTCTGGGTTCCCTGGGAACAGGGGTATTGCTGCAGAGGGGCCTGTCTGCCTGAAAGAGTGAGATGCTGGGAGAAGGGCTGGCAAATGAGGCAGAGAGACTGTGCTTGCCCAAGTGGATTCCAGGGGGAGCTGGTTCTTTCTCTGGTGCCTGCTATGTGAACCCGAGGCAACTTGCAAGGGTGGAACAAACAAACAAAAAATAGCAAAAACTGGAGGGGAACTGGCCTCATCCTCCATGCGTCATTCCCGGAGCTGGGAAGGAAGGAGACCCCGGTGCTAAGGCTGTGTTGTGGGCTGAGTTGCAGCTCTGCATGCTGGATCGAAGAGCCCTGTTTTCACCTGCCTTTCCTGGGAAGAGCCTGGGAGAAGGAAGCAGCTAAGGAGGCAGAGGATGCCACCAACTTGTAGCTGCTGCTGCAGCCTGGCTGTCACTGTTGATGTAGCATCCTGGCCAACCATTGCCTCTTCTGGAATATCTGCCATGAATCCTTCCAGTGTTTTTTGTTTTGTTTTGTTTTGTTTACATGCAATCTTGGACTCGCCTGCTGGCGCTGAGGTCCGTAATCTCAGCACACAGAATGTGTGGAGAGAGCAGTGACACATCCACCCATTGTCTGGAAGCACATCAGTAGAGGACAAAGCCGGAAGAGGCCTGTCCTCCCTGGGATTCTGTGTCCCCCAGCAAGGAAGCATGTGCAAGTGATGGACTTACCGGCTCCTCAGTGGCTTTCAGGCTTTCCCGCTGGGCCCTGTGGGTCACTGTGAGGACCAGAGCAAGCTGACTGCATGAGCCTCCAGCCTGCCGGAAAGAGGGAATACCTAGAGCTTTCTGTGGGGGCCGGTGGGTGGCAGGTGGCGGATAGGAACGGATGCATCCTATGCTGCTGTCGTCAGAGTCTGCAGTGAACTTCTTTGTTGAACATTAGACCTAGTTAAGAGGTCCTGCTCAGATGGAAATAGTCGCGGTGGCTTGGGGCTCCCCTTTGCCTGCCGGTACCAGGTCACAGACAGGAGCTGAGCAAGGGATTGGGTGGTCCATGACCAGGGTGAGGACAGGAGTCACATCCAGGGCAGGGATTTGGGGCTCCTGATGTTACTGGGGGCCAGACTTCTGCCAACCACAGGGAGACTGCTGCAGCTTCCTGGCTCTGGCTGTGTAGCCTCGCAGAAGCTGCGGGGCGGGGGTGCGGACACCAGGAGATCCTGGAGATTTGCTTCTGATCCTGTGCAGAATAATGCTGCCCTAATGCTAAGGGAGATTAGACATACGTTCATCTGGACTCTGAGTAACATATTTTTACAAACTAACTGCAGCGTGAGGATGGCTTAATGTGGAGAGGTTATATAATATGGTGGCTAGAGGATTAATCATCTCCCCTGGCCACTATTTCATAAGCCGTAAGGATGATGCGTTAGGGTGGAAAGCAGTGGGGCTGCTCTCATTCATGGCTTCTGTTACTGATTGGAGAGCCAACACTCTGAGGGTATAAATTACTCATCAGCCTCCGGATTGGTTGAGCAGTATTTCATGTGCACTGATATGCTATGCGTCCTAAACTAGGGACCCAGTGCCATCTGTTTCTCTTATTTCTTCCCCTCTATGCAACCCCATGGGAAAAGGGGTCTGTCCTCTCCTTGTTGGGCATCATGCCAGTCGGGGGCTGGAAAGTGTCCCACACGTTTGTACACCGATGTGTGCATTAGTGAATGTTTGCTTCTGTATGGTAAGCCTTGAGCGTCATCTCTAACTACTGAGACAATGGGTATCGGGGTTTTTCCTTCCTTCACTGATTCTCTCTTTCCATGTTATGTAATCAGAACTTGGCACATGGGACAGTGTGGCTATTATAATCGTAGGGGAATGTAAAAGAGAAGCGACTCTAACCTACTCTTTTTAAAATTGCATAAATATAGGTGTCCTCACCGTTTGGAATATTCTCTGTAACAATCTCAACCTCCACATTTGCTGTGTTGTAGGAAACGTACCCAGCAGATGGTGAGTGGGAGATTTTTAAAGGGGCATTTTTTAAAAGAGCAAAGAGGAGAAGAATGGAGGTGTGGGCATCTCTCCCCGTGTGTTTTATACACACACTCATCCAATGAGGATGTCTTCTGTTCTCATGAATAAGTGAATCTGCAAGTGCAAGCACTTCCACTTGGTAATGGTTCAGAGTTGATCAAATCACAAGTACTCTGTTCTCCTACATGTAGGTGAGCTGTGCCATGCGCTGGTAAGACTAGAGCCAGAAGATGGCATGCTTCGTGCCAGTGGCACTGGTAACCAGCATCTTGGCCCTAACCAGATGGCTTGCCAGGTTTGAGTGTCATCTTTGCAGTTGCTTGCGGTTTCTTACCAAAGGCAATTTCTAAAAGTCCCTCATCTTTGATGTTAAGCTTGGAAAACCTGCTCTTGTCCAGAGTTTATAACACTGACTTTCCACTGCCTGTCTTGATCCTTCAGTGTCTGGATGACTCTTGGGAAGCTGGCTGCATTGGTTGCGACTGGCCTGGTAGATTTCCCATGCTGGGCCATTTCCTTGCTTCTTTCGACCCAGTTTTGTCCACTGCCATTTATGTCAAGACTGGTAGTAAGGAAGAGACCTCCCGTGTCAGCCAGCTGCATGACTGGAGATGCAGGCAAGAATCAGTGTTGCTCTGTTTACAGGTGCACCTGGGGCTTTTGGCTTGACCTGCCCTGCCCCTTCCTGTTGCAAATGTACTAGTCTTTCCTTCTGGAGAACAGCCTTATGACAATCCTGCCTGTCTTTCTGAGTCAACAAAGCAGGTGAGTGTCTTCCAGTGTGGGCATCAGACCTCATCTAGCCAATCAGAATTCTCCCAGGACTCTTCTGTTAGACAAAAATAGAGCCATGCTCTCTTTTTTTCTGGGTGTCTCCACAGGGAGGGCATGGCTGTGGGGTGGCCAGTGACTACAGGACACAGGAAGAGAATCTCAGAGCTGGAGACTTGCAGGGGCAGGCGGGGCTGGATGGTGAAGAGCTGGAGCTGGGCTGACCTTTCGGAGCTCCCACGGGCAGCTGCTTCGGGATCTGTGTACATCCCCGGATTTCTAGTCCATGCCTTAAGACAGTTCCCTGCTTATGGCATTGGCACAGCTCAAACAGCTGATTGCTTGATGTTAGCATAAGGGTCATTGACCAAAACTGGCGAAGTAGAAAATAATAGA